TGACTTCTTCAGTCTCAGCTGACTGCAGGTTTCCCCAACCTTATAAACAGTACATTTGCATAATGACTGAAACCAGCCCACTGAAGGAACAATGGGCTGGGAGGACAATGTGACAGTTATGTTGTGACTGGTCAGAATTAGCCAACAAAAGTTAATACATGTTTTATTATTCATGTTTTCTTCGTCTTCGTCTTCTTCGTCTTCATAATGGATTGCATTTATATAGCGCTTTTCTATGCACCCAAAGTGCTTTACAATTCCACTATTCATTCACTCAAATTCACACACTTTTAACCCTTTCACATATAGTGGTCACAACAGTGGACAGCTATTCAAAGGCTATTTTCTTGTATTTGTGTCAGTGTACATGGTATACTGGCACTAGTACATTCACGTTGTTGTAAAAAGCATGATAATATATTCAGTAATCCAACGTATTCAGAATACGTTACTGTCATTGAGTAACGTAACAGAGTATGTTACAGAATACATTTTGGGGCATGTATTCTGTATTCTGTAATGGAATACGTTTTAAAAGTAACCTTCCCAACACTGTCCCCCACCAATGCTGGGGCAACAGTGACAAAGACAGAAACAGACTCAGACCCAAATAACTTGAAGCCTGAACACAGCAGTCTTTTCTCAAAATATTTTGTTCTATATATTGATTTGTTTTGTGTTGCACTGAATAACTAAGCAACTGAAACATCCTCACACATGTTAACAGAGACAGAACATAGTATTTGAAGCACATTGTTTATTGTAGTGACAGAAACACAGGGAGGCAGAAAATAAAGCAGACTGAAACCAAGAAATGCTGCTGCAAGAAAGTATGAAACCAATACAGAATATGGAGAATAATCAAAAATTCAAAACCAGAAAAAACCCAAACATCCCAAAACTCCAAACTCTGAGTCTAAAACCCAGGGATCATGACATTATGTAACCCTGTTTCATTGTCCCCTCCAGATTTATTTTCCTCCCTTGCCAATGTTTAGGCTCAGATTGTCTTCCCAGACTGACTCTCAGTCTGGAGCTTACTGTGTACCTTTATGCCAATAACTGCAGAACCACTGTAAGCTTTGAAACAGGATTTTCACTTTCCTGGTGCCAAATAAAAGTGAAGTAAGTACTTGCATTTCATGCGGTGCAGATACAGTCATGTGAAAAAGTAAGAATTCTTCTTAAGTTATTCAATTCCTACTCATTGTTGAGGTGATCCTACAGGGCTGCACTGTTTTATACAGTGTTATTTATACAGGATCTTTTTTTTTACACGTCTTCAATGTCCTCAGGTTGTATTTAGGTCATTTAAGAACCTAATACAGACCTGATAATTAAAAGAAATGTGCTTACGATACATAAAAACAAAAATCCAACCTTAGAACTAAATGAGAAACTATGATCATTTTCAATTTATTGTGAGATAAAATAAAGTGCAAGCTTATTTCTCTAGAAGAGATGAATCAGAGAATATAAAGGCCATGTTTTCACACTAAAAGATGATGTGCTTATTTCAGTGTGGAGCCTCAAGGAGTCCAGTGGATGAGACCAGGTCTAAGAAAATGTAAGTGTGTTTTTGATTTACTAGCTGTATTTACATCATTTTTTCACACATTATATGTATCTCTGCTAAATATCTTTTATCATATATTTTATAAAAAATTGTTTCAGTTATTTAATTCCACAACTAAAAACCCATTTTTGATAAACTCTTAAAACATCACAAAGTTTTGCATACTGGTTTTTCTTCTTCATAAACTAACGTGAAAACCAATTAATCCCTTTCTTCATTATCTGGTGAAGAAACGTGGCCACATAGTCAACTAGAATTTTCTATTCAGATATAATTTTGCTAGTGGTAAGATTGGCATGGCTAGAGGAACAGCTGTAACAGCGCCAACCTCGTGATTAGTTTATAATATTTGGTGCAAAATCAAAGTTACCAGAGGGGGGTTAGATTTATTAAATTATTGATCTACTTTAAACAGAATTTGGCCTCATGAGTCAGGTTGTAATTCATCTGTGTTGACTAGCATTAGATAATGTACAGATGATCAGATTTGAGAATGAAAACAGAAAAATCTTTCCATAAATCAAATGATGCTGATGCTGACTGATGCTGACTGATTCTGATGATGACCTGATTTTTGACTGAAAGGTAAATGTAAAGTTTGGCTCTGTTAACACTAAACTACCAAGGAGAATATTTTTACCCATCAGCATTTTAAAAATCCTGTCACCACAGGAGATATTTTCACTGTGTAGAAAT